TGTGGCAGAGGGAGGTCAGTGGGAAGAGAGCTCCCGCTGCACAGAGTGGGCTTCTTCCTCGAGTGGTGTAGCTGCTCATCACTTATCAGCCTTCCATCCGAATTCATCGGGCTCATTGCAGATGCAGTGTGTATGCATTGGCCGGGTGCTCTCTGGGCACACACAGCCTGCTTTGCAATCTGAGCTCAAAAAGCCCCCAAGCCCCACAGACCTTTCTGGATGGGGGAGTGTCAGAGGGTTGTGCACAGCCCGGAGTGCTGGTGCCAGCTCGCTTCTGTGAGAGCAGATTGCCATTGCTCGGAGGCCTGGGCGCTTTGGGACAGGAAGGGCAAGGGAGGATTTTGCTGATACTTGGATTGTTGCACTCTGCAGATACTTCTAATCAAGCAGCACATTAATGTATCTCTTGTTTTCCAGTAAGTCATTAGTCGCTTAAGTGAAGTTGCTCATGTCAGTTTTCCCTTTCATTAAATATTCATATTTACTAATGGAAATTGTCTTGACAAATTGGTCAAACTGAGCAACTTAGGAATTTATGCCGCAGACTAAAAAAAGTTGTTTGGAACTCCCAGTGAGCAGAAGTAATGCTTGAAATCATTAACACTTCATTGATTTTATAATTAAAAATCCGTAGAGTAAATAAAGCATCCTTTAACTGTGGCATAGCTGTTTATCTCAATGCTTAGTATTAATATTCATTTTTTTTCCCTGCGAGTATCCATGAAGTTCTGAAGGCCCTTTTCCTGTCCCTATGGGTGCTCTTGCAGCTCCTGGTGCTCCCCAGTGAAGGAAAAGGCCCTGTAATGCTGGCTGGCTGAGCTAAGACAGAGCTAGCATTGCTTGAGGCCACAGCAACCAGTATTCATGAATGGATGTCTACCTCCTCTAAGCAAGCTTATGTGGCCGAAGGCTTATGATGAAGTCAGATGGGAGCAATCATTCATGGAGACTAATTCAGCCCACTGACCAATAACTAACAGCCTATAACTAGTTTCACAGGGAATTGTGTTTTTATTTGCTGCCCCAAAGCGTGGCTGCTAGAGAATCTGAAGGAGAGAGAGGAGCTCTGTAACACAGACACTTTTTTAAAAGAATGAGCTTCTTTTGGCAATGACTGTGCTGTTACAAAGACGAAACAAATAGAAGGGATTGAAGTCATTTCTCGGCAGTGAAGCCCTGCGTGCAGAGAGCAGTGACAGGCAGCACAGAAGCACTTGGGAGAACATTAACCTTGGAGCCCAGGACCTGTTGGCCATTGTGGCACACAAAGACCTGGCTGCAGCTGCTCTAACAGGATGGCATGCAACTCCAGTCCACCTGACTGAAAACATCCTATTTTTAGTATCCTTAACTATCAAAGATTTAGGCAGATTTCTGCCTGGTTTCAAAAGCAAATAACAGAGCAGTGCTATTCTCTGCTCACAGAAGAACTCTGCTTCTAATTGTTACTGAACCTGCAGTTTTGTGAATGGAGATGGCAACTCTGGTGTGCTGTGAGTGTGGGGCTGCAGCCAGTGCCTGTGTGCAGTGGGAGCATCTCTGCCCCTGCCTTGCATCCCCGGGGGGAGCACCTGCAGCCCCCTCCCTGCATGCAGGCAATGAACAGGAGTGAGCCGGGAGCCTGGTGTGGCATTTTGCAGTCGGAGCACTCTGCTCCTGTGGCTGGCAGCTCAGGAGGTTTGGCTGTTGGCAGCAGTGCAGGGCTGCAATATAAGATGCCTGAAATCCACGTCTGCACAGCTGTGCAGATGTCCACGGGACTGGCATTTCAACTGAGCAGGAGTTTTTTCTTTAAGGAGTTCACATTTGATGCTGTTTAACATAAGACTGGAGGGCAAAGCATTTAGCAGTGAGATGGATGATTATTGTTTTAAATGAGCTCACAATCATTTGATGAAGTGGAAAACAAAAAATGTGTTTCCGGCATGTGATCTTTTCTGTGTTGTTTTTTTTTCTGCCTGAGCGATGTTTTCTTTCAACACTTCCAAGCACACACGTGCTGCTGTACCACCATTGTGCTCCCGCTGTGCCCAAAGCTGCGCTCCTTCAGGCCAGGGGGCAGCACTGCGGGTGATGCTGAGCGGCTGCGTGCTGCGGGGGCTCCCAGCTGAGGGGGCTGAGCTGTGATGAGAGGAGAGCTCAGGAAATGTTCACTGAAAGAACAGGTCAGCCACGTGCGGCCAAGGCAAAGCAGTTCAGTTCATGGGCTATTAAAAAAGGAGAAGGACTTAAAATTAATCGAGTAAACGTTTCGCTTAATAATTTATGTAAGAACTAATTGGCTTAGTAATGCCTCCTAATGTGCTGTAAAAATTCACAGGATAATGCGTTAGAGGTGAAAAGTGGTTGGATGGTAATTAAGGTCTCTCTTGTTGCCACACTCTTCAGAAATTCTTTGCTTGTCTGCCCTGCTTTGGCCAATAGTAAAGGTGATTTTTGGTTTCATGTATTTGCATCACATTTGAAGTATGTTATAGCACTTCCATTTTGATTTGAGGTAATTTTGTTCCTTGTTTATGTGATTAATACTTCATACTTAATATATTATATACATACTATGCTTTTAATATAAGTAGAAATATAAATAAAACACAAAAAGCTCTTCTCTTTGTGCACTGCAGTGCGCATACCTGGCCCCTCTATGTTGAAGTAAGGTAAAGCACTGGAAAGGTGTTATTGCAAATGGGGCTTTGTGCGCTGCACAAACAATGGGGTGGGAAATACAATGAAGCTGTGGGTTCTCTCATCAGCACGTGTGCTTCCCCACTGCTGAGAACAATACTGGAAACGATGATGTGCCATAGGAACGTGAGCCAGCAATGGGGGGGAGGGAGGGAGCATCGCTGTGGTTGGTAATCTCTCCTGTGTTGTTAGGAGATAACTTCTGGGTCCATAGGGAATGTTAGTTTGCTGCTCTAGAATGCAGAATTGAGTTAATATCCTTAATTAATAGATTTAATTAGAAGCTTTAACATTCTAAGATAACCAGCTACATCTCTGTGTAGATGAGTGTCACATCACTTAAACTGTAGAGCACGCTGATTGGAAAATGATTTTGGCTTTGTCAAAGGATTTGATTTCCCTAACGGTGATGCCCCATGCAGGAGGTGTGTGGGGGCTGTGTTTGCAGAGCTGCCCAGTGTGGGCTTCCACCGATGTTCTGCACTCTGTGTAGGAAGCACTGCTGCCAGGCGTCAGCTGTCTGCGTGCCTTGAGGAGAGCGCTGAGCCTTTGGGGCACCTGGGATGTCGGTGGTTGGATGAGATATTCGGATTTTGTGGGGGAAAGAAAACTTCCTGCGATGTTCTCACCTGTTTTCCAGAACCTCGTGAGCAGTGCATCTCTCTGAGGAAGAGCCCTGCCTCGATACCTGCGTTAAGGGGTAGCAACACACATTGATGGGAACAGAGCTCTGCAGTCTGACAGGAGCGGCCGCAGGGGGATCTGTCCTTCCTGCTGCCCGGAGCTGAAGCTGGGCCTTGTCGCTTGTATCGACTGCAGGTAAGCGAGGTAATGTGGAAATAACAATCTACAGGGCTGAAAAAACCTTAGAGAGAGGCTTTTTCTTGGACAAAAATCATCAGAGATAACAAACAACCTGTAGTGTGTATGCTAAGAGGCGAGGCTGCTATCTTGCTGCAGATAAGTACTGAAAATACCTCTAAAGATCTTCTGTTTCATCTCCTCTAACTGCAGAGCTCTGTCTAACTGTGGGTGAGGATCTAATGGATATTCACTGCTTTGGTGAGATGGTGGCTCTGGCTGTGCAGTGCACTTGGGAGCATTTCCAAGATAAAGATGCCAAAATTAAGTACGATATTAAGCTGTAATTTCTGATACCTTATAACAGGATGCATCAGGATTTAATCTCTTTGATTAAATCGGGACTCTAAGGTCCCACAGGACTCAATACAGTCTTACATTCCGCATCCTATTTCTTCACATCACGCATATTCCCATGATTCGTCTTTGTTTCTCTCTGTCTGTGTTTTGTGGATCTTTAGAGAAAGTACTTTGCTAAGCTTAGTTTAACTAGAACAATTCCCATTAAATAAAATTTGTTCTGGATAGAAATGTGTCAGAGAAGGTATTTATTGCAGCAGTTCTTATTTCAGGGTCTGTTAGCCACTAGAAATGCATACATGCTCTTCAGGGTATTTACCCAGGATTCTCATCTTGGCTGGCTTTTTCCTTTCAGAAGGAAGAAAAATTTTCTGAGGAGAGACTGTACAATGAAATAAGAGGTTCCACGCTGTGCAGGAGCCTGTGGCAAAAAGCAGATGATGTTAAAGTAGGTGATTCCCTAAAGCTGGGCGATCAGATCGGGTTAGGATACTAATTGTCCTCCTAATCGTCTTGGCTGTATCTTAGGGTGATCTAAGTTACCTAAATTAGGCATCAGCTCCCCCCTGCTGACCCTGTAGAGACCATAGTGATATCAATCTCTACTTTAAGAAATAAAGGGCAAAATTCTGAACCTAATGATGCCAGGTTTATCTGTTTGTATTACTTATAGCAAGGAGCTGAAGTGGAGGAGGGATCTGTAGAAAGTAAATGAAGGAAAGGCAAAGATGCGGGTTTTTACCTAAGAGCTGAAAACCTGAAAGTCTTGCTGAAGGCTTTGCTCCCTCTTTCATGAAGTTTCTCTCTGGTGGTTGTGGCTGAAGGCAGCAATGAGGCTTCCAAGGAAATTGTTCTGAGATTCATTGGTTTACACACGTGATTTTGGACAGTGCCCCAGGAAGGATCAGCTTTTATTGCTTTGCCCTGAGCTTGTTTGTGAGTTCTTTTATAAGCTTTTGCCTCATAAAGGAAGATCAGTTGGAGATCGATGTTGCTGTGGTTTGTAGGTGCAGAACAGCCAGTTCATGTCTTGATCTGGTCCCATCTGAGTAAACTCAAATCCAGAAGCCACATGGGGACCTCGTATGGCACCTAGATTCATACTCTGTACCAGAGTAGACTTTTTATGAAATAATGTTGTGTTATTTCTCCTCCAGCAGATGCATTGTCTTGCTCTGGGTTCCATCACACTGTGAAGTGGAAGTGGCATCATGGAGCAACCCTGCATCACCTCCTGGCAACCAAAGCCCCTGCTTGGCAGATTCTGTGGAAAGCATCAGGTCAGGCAAAAACAATGGATATGGAGTGAGAAGTTAAATGTTGGTCACTGGCATTAAATCGTGGGATGCCTGATGAATGAACGCTGTATAAACATTGAGGACAATAATAAACTCCATTATGTGGATGATTAAGGAAATAATTGGAGCAGGGAGGTAGAGAAATGCAAGTCCAAAGAGCCTATTAAAGTTGTGATGGAGTGAGCAACTCCTTGTGATCGATCTGAACTCAGGAAAAAACTACTGAGGCACTCTGTTCATCCAAGCCCCAGGTTTCCTAGGAGATGGCAGGCAGTTTAGATAGGGCTAACGACGGGGCTCTTACTGCTCAGCTAAAATAACTTTCTCTGCCAGTCCCCAGATGCTCCGGGTTCTCCTCAGCTCTGTGATAATGAACGCACACCCAGCAGACGAGCAGGCAGTGCTGCTCCTGCCCAGCCTCGCTCCTGGAGGTGGCTCAGTGCGTCGGATCCAGGTCTGACCTGAGGTATGATTATCTGGCAGCTCACGCTATGCTACATTGATTGCTTCCCCCCCAGTGACTACAGGAGTTAATCTACTTCAGCAGTGACTTGATCAACACTTAAATCTTAAGAAAAAAAATAGAGAATTCAGGATAAGGTATAGGAAACTTCTCTCTAGATTAAGCCACTAAATGTCAGAGCTGTGTAAAGGCTTCGTCTGGAGTAAATCAAGTTGAAAACTATATGAAATTTCTTGCATGCTATCTGCTTTAAGTTTAGCCAGCTCTTGCTGTTACCCAAAGCTAATAATCCTGGGCAACCTGAGCTGAGAGTGTGTTGGTCTGTTACTGAATCCAGCTGGTGTCACTCTGGAAGTGACACTTGCACTCTAAGGAGCCCTGCGCAGCCATGGGACACCACATGCACTCAGCATCGCATGGCGGGCCCAGGATTTAGGCAGCTGTTGTACATCACTGCCTGAAATACAGGTATGAGGCAGAAATACTCTGTTTAGCCTTAAAATTGGCTATTGTCACTGAAGTCTGGCCTGATGTTAATGCTTTTAGTGCCAAACGTGACAAGATGCTGTATCCAGGTTTTGCTGAATCTTCCCATAGCAGCGTGCCTGTCTGCCCTGGCACTGCTTTGCATGTGTTCTTACACATAGACAATATTCCTGCAGTGCATTTATGTTCATCTTCTTGAAGCCACACAAAGCAAACAAGGGACAAAACTCCTGCCATATCCAAATGCTACTTTGGGTGACTCAGGGGACCTAATGGCAAGTTGTCTCTTTCAGACAATTGTGTGCTCCCTGGGACCAAAGCAGACACTTGGATGGAGAGCTGTGTCTAACTGTTGGCTGATTTCATGTGATTTAGAGATTTCCTTTAGCTCTGTTATTAGCTTTTATGAGTCTTAATTGAGTAGTTTACTTGCAATACACAGTCCTTGATGTGCTGGAATATATCCTTAAATGTGCATATGTACTGAGAAAATGGTATTTTTACTTCTAAAACTGAGAGCGATGAGCAGGGGAATAAGTCCCAGTTCTGGCTGCAGATATTTGATGGATCAATACAGATTTAATTGTTATTCTCTTCTGTATTCTGTGTCTGCTACACTGATGCAACAGGTATTCTACATACTGTACGATTTGCAGACGTGATTTTAGTACAGTATTCCCTGCACGTTTTGTTTTGTTATTTCTTTCCCTTTTTCACTCCAATCCTTTCTTTTGCAACAGTATGTACGTTTAAGGTAGCAGGTAACACAATTGCCAGGACATCTTTGGTAGCTGCTTGAATCTCAGCTGAGTACGCCGACGAACGGCGCTGACATGGGACTCAGATTTCTCTTGCTCTCACTGCTGTAGGGCTTTGTGGTTTCCTCTGCCTGGGGCTCAGTTTCTGTGCTGGAGCCACGGCTCTGATGGCACTTTGGTGTCTTCTGGGGACACAGGTTGGAGCCAATCCTGGGGTACTGGGAACAGCACCCACGCAGATCTTGCAGTGGTACAGCTTACATAGGGACAGCCTTTGCAAACTAAGTAGTGCCATTCATCATAAAGCATCATCTAAATTTGTTGCAGAAATGCTCCTAGCCACAGGGAATTTGCGTTATGGCTTGAAGAGCAGCACGTCTTTCAATGCCTGTAGTAACGGCTGTCGGCTCCCTGAGCTTAGAGATCATTATCCAGCACTCTCTCATTCAGCATAACTTTTATGTCTAGCAGATTAAATTTCTGGGCAAAATAATTACATGTAAAGGCTGCTGGCTATTATTCACAAGGGGCCAATTTTCTCGCCATTTGTTGGCATTTGAAATGCCAAATTTATGGCGCTGCAATCTATACAACATATAGTTCAAAAGTGGATCGTGAAAGGCTCCAGTCAAGTCTGCTGATGTAAATTCTGAAGGTAGCTAGGCATCAGAGAGGGAAAATTATCTAATTGAGGCCAAATGGCTGCTTTATTCAGGATGCACTTTGATGTCTGTTCCCTGCCCTGGATGTTGCTGAGCTCCTGGTGCTGTGTGTGGCAATGCCTGGCTCTGAGCTCTGCTCTGGGCTCCTCAAAGGAGGCCTGGTGGTGCCTCCTGGTACCGACTGCCGCTGCTCTTGTCTTTGAGACGGAGATGAGGCAGGACATGTTTTACTCCTGGTGTCTGATGAATTCTTTTGCTTTCAGTTTTGTGGTCGTCACCTAGTGTGAGGAGTGTGATTGTGCTATATGGAGAGCAGTAATGCCGTTGTTTGGAGCTCCTCAATTCTTTCTTACAGCATGAAGTTTTGTGGGTATATGGTCATCTTTCTGGTATCCAGATCAGTGTTCTTGAACCTGTTTTAGGAAGCAGTCAGTGGCTTTCATTCAGGTAGCCTCTATTGTTGTCATTTTAGGTCCAGAAAAGATTCATTTCTATCTAGTTAGGATTTAGTTTAACCATTCCCTATTCCGGAAGTAGTGCTTGATGAGCAGCACAGAGCTGACAAACTTGTTTCAGCATAGCGCTGCATGACTTTATGCAGGATGTGCTTTGCTCGTGCATGTTGGCATTACACACAGAGATGCACTGGAGGCCTCCTGTGAATGAAGACCAAAGGGCTGCATGTGGTTGTGTGCACTGGGCATCTCACTCCATGCTATCTCCCCATAAAGGCTTTGTTAACAGACACCCCTCGCTCCTGCTTATTCTCACCGTGCTCTTGAAAAAACAATCAGTGTAAAACCCCATTGCCTCCTCCTAAGATGGATGACTAATGAGCCGTAATTGCTCCCCAACCCTACAGGAGGCTGACTTCATGAGGAGTTAAGGATTATCTAGCTCTATGTCCCTGGGAGGTTATTATTCCAGGAAATTAATTTAATTAGATTAGACCTATTAGAAATATAGAGAGAGCACTGAAGATTGGCAGGGCAGAGCAATGTGCTTTTTAAAAAATTGTAAAGACTGCAAGTAAAAGGGGGTAATTTTACATTATCAGAATTACTTCCATCTCCTGTGGAGCTTTATTGTTCTGAAAATAACACTCTGGTGGACCTTAGGGCAAACAGCTCCATCCACATCCATGCAAGAGGTGGTTTCGTGCACGCGGTGACCCTCGCTGCATTTCTCCTCGATTGTATTTGGGCTGTGTCGTTTGCTTCTTCGTTGTACAAAGCCCGACTGCACCTTCAGATGTCCATGTTGGAGTAAAGCACTTTGCTGTGGTGTCAGATGAGAGCTTAGCGCCTTCATGGCAGGAGCAGCACTGCTCCCCCAGGGTGCGCTTAGCGAGCAAGTCTTGGCAGTGACAGAGCAGTGCTACAGATGGTTGTTAGCCCTGCCCTGGCCTGGCAGCCTGATGCTGTGTGTTGCAGGGCAGAGCTGCCTTTGTCTGCTGTGGACCAGAGTTGTCCTGCCCAGATTGCAGCACCTGTGAGAACCGCTGAGTGCTGGTTGCTCTCCTGAGGCAGCTCTGCCCTGTTTGCTGGCTGTAAAACAAGAACTATTTTCTGCTTGTGGCTGGAAAAGCAATTGTGTCGCACAGCACAGGTGTGTGCTGCTGCTGAAGTGCTTGCTGGCCAGAGATGTGCTGTTGTGGCAGATCTCTGCCCATCCCCAGCCGGGGTCATGTGGGGTGGGGGGCACATCCCAGGACAGAGCACTGCAGCTGGGAGCAGCTCTGGGTGCCCAGCAGGATGTTTGGCTGTGCTGAGAGAGGAGTGCAGTGCTTCTGCTCCTCCATGAGGAGTGTTGGGAAAATAGTGAAAAATATTATCCGTAATTATTTTTAAAGCATATGTATCTGTGACATAGCGTATGTTCCCGAGGAAAAATGTTCCACCAAACACCAAGAAATGCTGCTGCTTGGGAATTGCCCATTGATGCTGAGCAGTGAATCTGCTCTCTGATGGAGGGCATGCTGCCTGCGGGAGACCCAGCATCCTGCAGCCCCAGACACCCACCTGCAGTGCAGACGGCTCATGCCACTCGCACTGTGGGGGCTGCAGGGCTGGGCTGCAGGGTGCTGCCTGTGCCAGGAGAATGGGAGTTTGGGATGATTGCTTTTCTGGCAGGAGATTTACGCAGCATGCTCAGGCTGAGGTTATCTCAGCAAGTGGGTGATAGGCCCTGGAATGGATTTTCATACTTAAAGGTTCCAGGCAAAGTGCTATGTGGCTTGCAGTTTGTTTTGCAAATCCTTATCATCTAGCAGCTCTTGCCTGTGAAATGGAGCACAAAATAAAAACCACGAGGAGCAGTCACAGGGATGCAGCCCACTGCTGCCCTGTGAGCACAAATGTGCTTCCAATGAGCCCCCAAACCTGGACTAGTGTTCACTGATCACTTTGCTGGGTCAGCCTTCCATGAGCTCTGCCACTGGGCTCCTGCTTCATGTGAGGTGTGTGCAGGCATTTTGCTTCCTGGGATCCTCCAGATTATTGCATGTGAATCCAGGTTTCAGAGACATTGAGAACCGTAAATAAAATAAGAGATGTGATCAGTCTCTCTCTGCTCTGGCTGCTGGCAGTCTCGGGAGCTGTGGATGATGGCTGGTAGAGGCAGGAGAGCCCCATGAGCCCCTTGGATGGGCCCCTGCTGTGCAGCAGTAACAGTGACTGAGCTTGTGTGGAAATGCAAGCTAAGCATTTATTGTAAGTAAACCATATGCAGTGTTTCTCTATAGATGGGCTGTTCTTCAGGGCAGGAGGGATTGCTGATTCTGTTGATAATAATTATATCTATTTATTGTTAATAAAAAAGACTTTCTATTTATAGAGTGGCTCCACGTTTCTATAGGGCACATAGAAATTTTTGGAAGTAGAACAGTGTGGCTTTTCACAGAGCACAATTATGGTGCATTTTTTTGCAAATTCAATTACAGAACTGTAGAAGCTTAGGGGGAGGGCTGTGTGGTGTGCAAGATCTTTGGCTCTTTTCTGCTTTAATCTCTCCAAGCTGGTGAGTCTGCGAAGAGCTTAATTAAAGTCAGTGCAAGCGGTTCTGAAAACAGAGGCTCGTGGAGTGCTGGATCTGCTGC